GACGTGTGCTCTTCCGATCTCCCCAAAACCCCAAAACCCCACGAAATAGAATACTAACAGCATTGCTAATCACAATTTAAGATTAAAAACAAAATATTTATTTTTAACAATGTCTTAAGATTAGAACTAGTAATAACCATCAAAGCAATATCAAAATCCACCAGCAGGTTCTATTCCAACAAGTTTCCTGCGTCCTCTGCACATGCATGAATGGGAGAGCCAAGATAAAGTTCTAAGTGATCTACAAAATTAGGAAGTTAAGAACTGTTTAGAGTATGTTGACTTCAGATTTCTAAGGCATGAATGGGACAATATTCCAGTTATAGTGCCCCGCTACTTGTTCTATCTTTCAAAATATATCAATGGTCTGGCCACTTTTTGTTACAATGTAGAATAACAAGAATCTACTGAGTCGATCCGTGAGGATCTCAACGAAAAGTACTATGTAAGTAATGTCCAATAGTCATATGCTATTATATTATAAGTTATGTGAGTAATGTTTTATTGATTGCATTTTCATAGGACTTACTGAATCGAAACGATGAAATGAGGAAAACAGATTTGAAGGAAAAAGATGAAATCAATTAGAACTTCAAAGATCTTAAGAATGAATGCCATAAGATTGATAGCTTTATCAAAGACTTAAATGATGATAATCACAGATGGCTGAACACAAGCATGTATGATATGTACTCAACCCCTGAAAACAAGATATATGAATACAAGGATTACAAAGACAAAGACTGTATTGGAGAAGCGTATCAAAGAAAAGCAAGACTTTATTCACTGAACTAAATCAAAGACTTGTTCCACATTCACTTGAACAGATCCAAGCTGTGTCACAGATTTTGGGGAATTCAGACTCAGATGATAAGATGCGAGAATGACGTGAAGCAGTTATTCAAAAATGATGAGAGTATTAGAGCATACATAGATGAAAAAGTGAATTAACTCACTGATAGATTAGATAAATTTGATTAGCAAAATACTCAACAACAAAGTTACCATGATGGAAAGTTAAGTGAAATCAATAGTAAACTATATAATCATGGAGAGAGTATCTTAAAGCTATAAGATTTTCAGAAAGAAGCGAACAAAAACTTTGGGGATCTAAAGTCTCTTAATGATAAAACAAATGCCAAAATCGTCCAAGAAAGAGATACAATGAACCAATTACTAGACATTTAATGCAATGAACTAAGAGTGAAGATTAGCAATATTGATTAGTACACTCAAAACTAGATTGATGCCATGCAGCTGGATTTTGACCGCTTTAAGCATTCAACTAAGGAATCCATTGACAACAAGGAGCGATCTATCATGAATAAGACTAATACATATGTTGGCGAGTTGCGTAAATATGTAGAAGAGACTGCTAATGATCTTAATTAGAAGAGATAGGAGATGCAAGAGAAATATGATAAGAAATTTGGGAATGTAAAGGAAGTAATCACGAACTACTTTGAAAAGTATGACAGTGATTTAGAGGAAATGAAGATCAATATGAAGGCACTGAATTAAAAGTATGCTGACTGGTCAAAGATCTTGATAGAGCCAAGTTCATTGAACGAGGCGAGACTTTATTCTTTAGAGACTCGAATGCATGAAGAGGAAGAGATTAGGATCAAAGAGTATGAGTATGTTCGGGATCTCATGAAGAAGCTAATCTTCTCATTAGAGCAAACTAATCTATAAAACCTTGATATTGCGAAGTCTAGTGCGTATCGCTCTATGGATAGAGCTGATGCTGTAACCAGAGGCAGCGTATAACTAACACAGCATTAGTAACCATTAATTAATCTATAGAATTTGCAGTCTCCATAACTGCCAAATTTACTGCAAACTCAAGGTATGAATAGTTAGTTTAAAGGAAGTGGCATGAGTTCTTAAGGAGGAGATAAACCGAATCCAAGCAGTACATTGAATGAACTTAGCTTAGGGCTATAACATAAAACCAATGAAATACTGATGCTTAAAAGATTAAACTTCTTAAAGACATCTTTAGATAGCCATAGTCCAAGGCAAACCACGACAAACTTGCGATTAAAAGCAGTTAAGAAACGAGACGACAGAGTTTATGAAATATGGAGGAAGGAATTAGAGGCACCCACTGTGCATGAAATACTTGCTAACTATCTTAAGAACAAACATCCGGTAAATGTAGACTTAGAAAAAGAAATTAATGAATAATCCTTTTAGCCACCCCAGTCAAGTAGCAATAAGTAAAAGATATAGGCTTAGGCTCGCATTCCTCAAATCAAAACCATATTGACTGGTGGAACAAATAACTCTAGAAATCTTGATGTATAGAGTTAATAGAACCTGAATGAATCTGAAGTCAAATCTAAACGAGGAGAGATCACTCTGTAACCTCTGTCAACTGGTAATGTGGATACTTCTGTAAGTAACTTGAAAGCCTCCAACGATTCAGCCTTTATTACTTAGAAAATGCATATGAAACATTAATTTGGGTAGACTTTTCATCCTAATATGCCATTTTAGCAAAACAAACAGTAGCTTAATACTGTAAACATTTAAAGTCTATAGTCGATCGATCAATCAGTGAGGTCTAATAACCTAGCTGACAAGATCAATAGAAATAAATTCTTGACCAACTCAGATAATAAAAAGATTAATAATGGGCAAACTAGAGGTCATTCTAATTTGAGGGACGCTGTAGGAGTGAGGGATAAGTTGTACGAGACTTTTTGGTCTGACTTCGATAACTCAATAGTTGAAAAGAGTAGATAACTCTAAAACCCTCCAAAGATGAAAGTTTACACTCATAATAGGCCTCGAGGACAGCTAGAGTCTGGTCCTGGTAGATAAGACCAGGATATGAATGCCACATTTAGTCACAACGAAGATCGCAGAAATACTTCAATGATTGACGAAGACCTGAACAAAACTATGCCATTATGATAATGAAGGTATTATTAAATAATAGTAAATGAAATGAAAACAGATCAATGCCTTTCAATGGTTTGAGCATTTATCACCCTTAATATCTATCTTGAAGATAGTATAATATATCATCTTAATTATTATAAACGCTTATTGCTGAAACTGATTAATGAAATTAAGATTAAATATCATCTATAATTACCTACAGATTTAACTATCTGTCTTTTCTCTAATTTGATTAGATTATCATGGGGTTCTTGGCTCCTCATCATCTTATATGTTCAGCAAAGGCTTCTTAAGTTCATGAGTACTCACCATTTTCTTATTAGGCGTGATTGATTTATTTATCTTAATTACTATCTTCTAAGGGGAGCTTTTACTTGGTGAGTTTGAGGATGATCTGTTTAGAGATCGATCCTAGAGCTCATACGAAGATTCATCTTTGCTCACATCAAACTCAAACATATACTTAGTTGGTCGCTTTTAAAATATTTGGGTGTATCTTGTTTTAGGAGGCCTAATTTCAGTTACCAAGTCAAAGTAAAACTGCTAGAATATAGTATCTAGGAAAAGTGATCCACAGTATTCCATTTAAAATGTAAAATAAAAGAATGATGTCAGCAGCACGAATTAAAAGAGATCTCTTCTATCTATATCATATTTTAAGAGGAAGTAAATTCATACCTTCTCTATCATTCATATTTTGTTCTACTAGGAAAAAACTAGTTAGGAGTGATATCACAAAGCATATTGTGACACAGCAGCTGAGCACTGTGAATATAATTCTAAACTTTTTGTTGTAACCGTAAAGTAGCTTCTTAACTTAATCTTTTTCAAACATTAAAGTGTGGCCTTGATGCATAGAAATTGTTAGAAGAATAACACTTATTGGAATAGCTACAAAGAAGAGTGGAATGTGAATAATGTGGAAGTCAAATTTGTAGTACACTAAGATAGATAACGCTAATATCGATACTGCAATTGATATGTTTAATGGCAAGTACTTAACTTTGAACAGCAGTAACTACAACATATTTCATTAGTAATGATTCATACCTTAACTATTGCCAATCCAAAGAACACTAGAATTGGAATGAAGCATTCAAACACAGAAATACCAAGCTTCTCTAAAGTAAAGTAATTAATGCTTATCTTTATCTATAGTTTAAAAAAAACTTACCACTTTCGATAACAGATTCTTCAGCAGCTTAAACATATTCATAAAAGTTCACTGTTGTCATCAACAAACTTATTGAGAATATGATCTTTTAAAACAAAATTCCGAATGAATCTCTATTCCATGCCAGGCACCCCTAATATATCAAATCCATCATCAGCACTATCAATGATAGAATGCAAGTAAAAAGGATAAGACAGGCTAAAGTGATCAAAGGTATTATGCTATCTGCATAAGTTAGTACATTATTTGTCAACTGTAAAAAAGTGTTAATCTCAATTAAGTGAAGAGTGAATATTCAATAATACTTACCTTCTCAAAAGCAATTACGATTGCGATCATGAAGTGCACATTTACTATAAACCCAGCAAGGATTGTAACTGTCATATCTGCCATTGGAGAAATTATCATTGCTCTCTTAATATTGAAGAGTAGCATTCTGATCTTTGAATCTGAATTTAGTTTAATGGCAATTTGAAGAGTCTTCTCAACAGAATTATTTATCTTGACTTAGGGTTGAGTGATCATCGGTGTATCATTAATTACTCTTGCAGCCCATCTATCTTCAATCGAGGAATTGTTATGAGCTAATTAGTTTTGTGATAAATCTGAGGCATTTGAAAGCAAGCGCTCTTTCTTCTAAATTTAGCCTGTTGATGGCCTTGTCCTAACCATTTTATAACTTATTTTATTGATTAAAAAATCTTTACTATATATATTCATCTGGGGTTTTGGGGTTTTGGGGTTTTGGGG